TCAAACATAGGCTTTTATGGGCTGTGGGGATTTAGCTCAGTGGTTCTGCCGCCTGCCTCAAGTGCAGTGTCCCAAGTTCAATTCTTGGTACCAAAAAGTAAATAATAAATAAATGTATACCCATAAAAATCAACAGACTAAGGAACAAAAATATAATAAAGTAGTGCTCTCAAAACAAAAAAAAAAACCAGACTTTTATGAAAAAAGAAAAAATGGTGGCAAAGTTTATTTAAAAAATTAAAAGTGAAGGGTAAGGGAGAAATTGGCTCTATAGAGTGAACAGAAAAGAAAAATTAAAAATAAAAGCCAAAATAAAGGCCATGGATTTAGCTCAGTGGTTCTGGTGCCTGCCTTACAAGCACAAGGCCCTGAGTTCGATCCCCAGTACCAAAAAAAAAAAATAATAATAATAAAATAAAAAAATAAAAGTACACCCTGGGGGACATGGGGCAGGTTACTGTGAGGAAAGTCACATAGCGAGCTCTTTATGGCTTTTTTTACTTTGTCTACACAACAGGTTCTCACAGGCAGTCTGCATATGGGGTCCCAAGAACTATTTGGTGCGCATGTCCTGCAGCCTTGTAATTAACAGGTCCTACTACTCCCCCAGCCAGCTTTGCCTCGTCCTGCCTTCTGGCCTCAGGCTACTGTGTACCAGGCCAGCGATGTCTGAGGGGAAGGCACCATACGAGGCCTGGGGCCCTGCTTCCAGCACTGTTACAAAGTCCCGTGACAGTTTGTTTGTTTGTTTGTTTGTTGAGAGAGTATCACTAGGTAGTTCAGGCTGGCCTTGAACTCACTATGTGTCCCAGGCTGGCCTTGAACTCATGTTGACCCTCCTGCTGCACTACAAGTCCTGGTTTAGAGAGAATTTTTTAAAGTCCCTTTGAGGAGCTTTTTTTTTTTCTTCCCTGTTTCTGAGATCAAATCCAGGACTTGCAAATGCTGAGAACATGGTCTGTCACTGAGCTATATCCCTAGCTATTTTCAGGGACTTTTGAAGTAAAAATTCACTCATTCAGATGAGAATTTAAAGTAAAAACTGGGCTAAGGACTAGGGGAGGGAGAAGAAAACTCACAGTGGTGGTAAGGGAGGGGTTTGCCAGATGAAATATAGGTCACCCAGTTCAATTTGTTTGTTTGCTTGTTTGTTTGATTTTTTGGTTTTTTTTAGACAGGGTCTCACTATATAGTTGAGACTGCTGTGGAACTCACTATGTAGCACAGGCTGGTCTTGAACTCACAGCGATCCTCCTTCCTCAGCCTCCCAAGTGCTGGGATTACAGGTGTGCGCCACCATGCCCGGCCTGTTTGCTTGTTTGTTTTTGGTACCAGGTATTGAGCTGGGGTCCTTGTGCTTGCAAGGCAGGTGGTGGGAACCACTGAACAAAATCCCTGGCCCCACCCAGTTCAATTTGAATTTCACATGACCAACACATAATTTTTAAATATACATATGTCCCAGCTGGGCATGGTGGTGTACTCCTGTAAGCCCAGCACTTGGGAGGCTGAGGCAGGAGGATTGTCATGAGTTCCAGGCCAGCATGGACTACAATGAGTTCAAGGACAGCCTGAACTACACATTGAGACCCTGCCCCTCCAAACACATGCTATATTTGGAACATACTTATTACTTACACTAAAAAAAATTATTCATTGGTTCTCTGAAATTTTACTTAAATGAGTCCTGCAGTAGGTGTTTTTGTTGGTTTGTTTGTGTTTGTACTGGATATTGAACATAGGGCTTTTGAGCTATATCCTCAGCCCTATTTTATTTATTTTTTTTTATTTTGAGGCTGGGTCTCACTAAGTTGCTAAGTTGTACAGCCTGGATTTGAACTTCCCACCCTCCTGTCTTACCCTCTCAAAGTGCTAGGATTACAAATGTGTACCGCCAGGCCTGGCTAGGCCCTGTTATTTGGTGTGTTCAATCTGGCAGCCCTAGCTGGAAATAAGCTTCTCTCAGCCTATTTTCCAGTGGCTTCAGGTGGAGACACAGAGAGTGTTTCTTTTTTTCTTTGGTACCAGGGATTGAACTTGGGACCTTGGGCTTGTGAGGCAGGCGGCAGAACCACGGAGCTAAATCCCTGGCTCGAGAGTGTTGCTATGACTGCTCACTCTAGGGAAGGGATAACCTCAGAGGATCTATTTTTCAGTCCTACTTTTTTTTTTTTGAGACAAAATCTTGCTATGCAATTCTGACTGCCTTGAACTCACAGCGATCCTACTATCTCCGACTCCCGAGTGCTGGGATTATGGAAGTATACCACCACGTCTGGCTCTATTTATTTTTTTATAGAGCCATAAGGGGAATTATTTCTACTTCTTATGTGTTTTTTTCATTTTCCTTAAGGAATCAGCATTAGTTACTATATATTCTAAAAATTCAGTAGTCTCTAAGGTGATGTGCAGCCTAGATTACTGAGATATACCCCTTTGACATTCTTTTTCTTTTTTCATTGAGTTTATTGGTACTTTTTAGGTATA